CAGCCTCTTCCCCTGGCCATTCAAAGGTATTAACACAAACATATATATATATATATATATATGCATATGCATATCTATATGTAAATATATTCAGATGTGCGTATATATGCAGATATTTATGTGAATATACATACACATATATGTATGTATATATATATATATATACTTGTAGGTATGTGTATATATGTTTGTATATATATACATATACATATGTAAGTCTATATATATGTATATATGTACTTGTAGGTATGTGTATATATGTTTGTATATATATACATATACACATATAAATATATATATATATATATATATATATATGAATGCATAGAATAATGAGTATATCTAGAAGAATACATTGATGAATTGATGTTTATGATCAGGCCGCGTAGACTATTTATTTGGCGTTGACGGTGTATATTTAACGGGGGACGAAGTGCTGAACTTAGTAGAAAAATTTCCCCCTGAAGAAGTTGTAGGCCCTGAGTTCGAAGACATGGATATCCCTGTCTTAAAAGAAGGGGGTCTAGCTGTTACTTTTCAACAAATACATTGCTTAGGTAAGTAATAATATATATTTATAATTATGTATATATCAATAAGTTTATTTAGAGGTATACATTCATATAAATATATCTATCTGCGCATATATATACATATATATATGTATATACGTACGCTATATATATATATATATATATATATATATATATATAATGATATGGATATCCCTGTCTTAAAAGAAGGTTTAGCTGTCACTTTTCAATAAATTCACTGCTTAGGTGAGTAATAATAATATATATATATAATTGTTTATATGAATAAGTTTATTTATATGTATCCGTTCATATAAGTACATATATATATATATATATATGCATATGATAGGATTTTCATGGTTTGTTTATTATTACATGCATGCACAGTTATTCGTTTATTTGTTTATTTCTTTTTTGTTTTTTTTGTGTTTGTTAATTCTTGCATGCATGCCCATTGATTGATTGACTGATTTATTTGCTTATTTATTTATTTAATTTAATTAATTAATTAATTAATTTATTTATTTATTTTCTTTTATCTCTGTCTAGGAATGGATATAATAGCACAACACTACGGCGAAGAACTTTCAGATCACTGGCCGCTCTCTGCACGAATTTGTATTGGGGCCCCCCGAGTGCAGCAGCAGCAGCTGCCTCGCCCGCGGAAGCAGCAGCTGCTGCGGGGCCTTTCTTTATGTGTAGATGCCTCTTATAAAGGTTCTTCTTCTAATCAGAAGAAGAATCAGCTAACTAAGAAAGTTATTGAAGCAGAGAAACAGCTCGCAGCTAACCAACTTGCAGGCTGGAGACAGAGTAGGGCTCCTTCTATACTTGAGCAGACACCGGAAGTTAAAAGGCTGCAGCAACAAAGAGAACAATACAAAAGAGCTGCAGCAGCAGCAGCAGCAGAAGCAGCAAAAGCTGCAGCAGCAGAAGCTGCTGCAACAGCAGCAGCAGCTGCTGCAGAAAAAGAAGCTGCAGCAGAGGCGGAGAGAAAGGCCCTGTGGGAACAGCAGAAGCAACGGGAACCGCAGCAGCAGCAGCAGCAGCTGGAGCAGCAAATGCAGCAAATGAGTATTACTCAGGAAGACAGCGGTGTAGGGGTAGACGACCAGCAGCAGACAGCAGGGCAGCAAGATGCTGCAGCAGCTTCGGCGTCTCATGCTGCAGGTGTGTCTCTCTTTAGAGATTCAAAGGGACAGACAGACACAGGAGAAGGAGACACTCAAATAAGGAGACTCACAAATAAAGGAGACACTCAAATAAGGAGAGACACTAATAAAGGAGACACTCAAATAAAGGAGACACTCAAATAAATGAAACACCCAAATAAAAGAGATACATAAATAAAGGAGATACACCAATAAAGGAGACACTCAAATAAAGGAGACACTCAAATAAAAGAGATACATGAGTAAATGAGATACATAAATCAAGGGGAGACAAAAATAAGAGAAATGCATGCAGAGGAGACACACAAATAAGGGAGACATACAGACAGGGGAGATAGATAGAAAGAAGCGAAGAGACAGAAATAATAGAGACACACAGACACAAGAGGCACATATACACCGCAGAAGCACTCGCAGAGCAGGAGCAGGTTTTATCTCTATCTATGACGAGCCAACTGTTGGAGTGTCTCCTTTGTCTCTTTTGTCTTATCTGTCTCGTTTGTTGCGTTTGTCTCTTTTGTCTTATCTGTCCCCTTTGTTGCATTTGTTTGTCTCTTTTCAGGGGAAGACAAGGCGAAGAAGAGTGTCCCCTTGGCAGCTCAGAGGGCCCGCGAAGCGATGAAGGCCAGGCGAAAGCCTTTAAGGATGTAAACCGCAGATTCAGGTGTACGTACACCCCAGAGTCAGGTGTACATACACCGTATGTTCACGTGTACATACACCGCACATTCAGGTGTATGTACACCGCAGATAGTGGCGTATATACACCGCAGATTCAGGTGTACGTACACCGCAGATTCAGATGTATGTATACTGCCGATTCAGGCGTATGTACACAGCCGATTAAGGCGAGTGTAAGTCATATATTCAGGTGTACGTACACCGCAGATTAAGGTGTATGTACACCGTAGATAGAAATGTATGCACACCGCAGATAAGGTGTATGCACACCGCAGATAAGGTGCATGTACACCGCAGATAAGGTGCATGTACACCGCAGATAAGGCGAGGGAGTGTATATTGGCTAGGGGCCGCTTCTGCCTCTCTCTGCCTTATTTTATTTGTATCAGTTTGCCAGTAGTTGCGTTTGGGTGTGGGGTGTATATGCACACCTGCGTGTCTGGTGCTGAGGTGTACATACACCTCAGCAGGAGACGCCTGTCTCCGTTTGTAACTGCAAGATATATCTGTCAAATAGAGGATGTTTAGGCTGTCTCTGGTCTCCCTGCAGCGGGGCGAACTGTTTTGTTTATTTCTGTCTCCTTTGTCTGCTACTGTCTCCTTCATTAGAGACACCAAGCACTAAACAGGCGGCGTCTGCTAATAGCAAAAACAAAAGCCCTAGAGGCCATCTAAAAGGGAGACACGGCCAAGCATCTCCTTGCCTGTCTCCCCTGGCTCACCATGCAGCTGCTGCTGCTGCACATGCTGCTGCTGCAGCTGCTGCTGCTGCAGCTGCACCTGCTCGTGCTGTTGCTGCAGCTGCTGGTGCTGTTGCTGCAGCTGCTGTTGCTGCAGCGGCTGTTGCTGCAGCTGCTGTTGCTGCGGCTGCACCTGCTGATGCTGTTGCTGCTGTTGCTGTTGCTGCCGCTGTTGCTGCAGCTGCAGCTGCTGTTGATGCAGCAGCTGATGCTGCTGCTGCAGCTGCTCTATCTGCAGGTGCAGCGGCAGCTGCTGCGTGTCTTTAGTTGTTTTTGCTACTACTGGTGCTGCTGCTGCTGTGCTTGAGTCTCTTGTCTCCTGCTGCAACGAGTGTGGAGACAGCGGCACAGAAGCTGAGACAGAACAGATTGGCGCTGCAGCTGACAGCAGCGGGGAAGCAGCAAAGGGTCTCTGGGGTGTACAGACACCTGGCTGCGCTGCAAGTGTGGGGCCCAGGGCCTGCGGAGACACACAAAGAAGCTGCTGCGGTGTCTCCGCTGCTCGGTGTCTCTTCTGCTGTTTGCTGCAGCAGCGCTGAGTGTAAGAAAGAGATAAAAGAAATAAAGGAGATAAACAAAAGAGATATAGAAAGAGACACAGGAGGGAGACAAGAAGGAGACAAACGAAGTAAAAGAGATAGATACAAGAGACACAAGGAGATAACATAGGGAGACAAAAAAGAGACACAAGATGATAAAGGAGACAGACAGTAGAGAGGCAACAAAGATAAAGGAGAGAGAGACAAGAAAGAGACAAAAGAGATAAAGGAGAGGGGGGAGAGCCAAAGGAGGCGCAAGCGAGGCAAAGATAGAAGAGACAGAAGAGAGAGACGGCAGAGACACAAGACACAAACAAGAGAGACAGGGGACAGAAGGGAGACAGGACACAGCTAGCAAAGAAAGACAAGGAAGAGACACGAGGTAGAAGACATATAAAAGAGAGACAGGAGACAGAAGATAGACAAGAGAGACACCTAAGACAGCCACGACGTACAGCAGGAGGCGAGGGGGGACAGCTGGGTGTTTCGGGAGCGGCGCGTAGCAGTTGCTGTCTGCTCCCTTTGCTGCTGCTGCTGCTGCTGCATGCAGCAGCATCAGCAGCAGAACAACTGTCTCCTTCCCCTAAGCTATTAAAGCTGAATGCATCAGCAGCAGCACTCCTGTCTCTTCTGTCTCTCCGCGCAGGCCCCCTAGAGCAGTAACGCCAGCAACTGTTGGGGGCCGAACCCCCAGCAGCAGCAGCAGCAGCAGCAGCAGCAGCAGCACTAGCAAGCCACTGCTGCACCTCAACTACTCCGGAGCCGGAGACGGCGCTCCAACCCACAACGTGACACCTGAAGAGACTCAAGGAGACACAAGAAGACAAGAGGAGACAGATAGAGACAAAAAGAGACAAACAGAGACAAAAGGACACAGATAGAGACAAAAGAAGACAAAAGGAGACAGATAGAGACAAAAGAAAGCAGGAGGAGGCAGAAGGAGATAGATTGAGACAAAAGGAGACAAAAGGAGACAAAAGGAGAGAGAAGGAGACAGGCAAATATCAGCGGGGCAAGAAGAGGAGACAGGAGACAACAAAAAGGAGACAGTAGATTTGTGTGTGTTTAATTGTCTTACGTTCGTTTGACTTCTTCAGGCAGAGCCAACAGCTCTTCTATTTCTTCAGGGGGGCGCGCAGTGCTGAGGTCCTGCATTAAGGAGACAGGAGACAGTAGACAAAATAAAGAAAAGATAAAAAACAAGGGGTAGGAGATAAGAGACAAAAGACGAGAGGCAGGAGACAATAGACAAGAGACAGTAGACAAGAGACAGAGAGGACACAGCAGAGAGTGCAAAAGGAGACAGCGAAAAGGAGACAAGAGACAGTAGAAAGGAGACAGTAGAAGGCGGTGGGAGACAGCAGAGAGGAGACGGCAGAGAGGAGACAGCAGAGAGGAGACAGCAGAAAGGAGAGAGCAGACCGTATGAAAGAGATAAGAGACAGTAGACAGACAGAAGGAAGGAGACAATAGAGAGAAGAGGCAGGGTAGAGGAGATAGGAGACAGCAGACAGCAGACAGCAGACAGGCAGTGTACAGATACAGCTGAGCTCAAAGCAGATATGAGGAGAGAGAGACACCGCAACAAGACAAACAAAAAATATCTAAAAAGTAGAGAAGAGGAATACAGAAGAACAAAGGAGACAGCGTTTACATCTCCTTGTCTCTGTCTCCTAATGTCTCTGTCTCCTCAGCGGCAGCAGGACAGAGACACACAAGGAGACAGAGAGAGACAGGCAGAGACAGATAAAGAGACAGATAAAGAGACAGATAAAGAAAAGAGAAAGACGTAGACAAGGGGATTGATATACAAAAAGAGACAGGAGGAGAGACAAATAAAGAGACAGACAAAGAGACAGAAAAGGATATGGATGAAAATATAGATAAGGAGACAGCAAAAGAGACAAATAGAAACACACACAGAGACGAACAAAGAGACAGATAAAGACAGATAGAGAGGCCGACGGAGACAGATGAGGAGACAGACAAAGAGACAGAAAAGGAGACAGATAGAGAGACAGATAGAGAGACAGATAGAGAGACAGGAAGCGAGAGGCAGAGACAGTGCGAGAGAGACACACAGAGAGGAGACAGATGCAGGCAAGGAGACAGCGACGCAGATACAAAGAAAGAGAAGGCCCTTGAAGACAAAGACAAAGAAGGAGACAGAGACACAGCGAGTCACGAATATATATATATATATATATATATATATATACGTAAATATATCTTTAAAAGATATATATATA